GTATAGTTTGTTATCCAGCCACAGTAACTGGAACAACACCCAAGACAGAAAGAACAGCAAGTCCAGAGCAGGTCAAGAGACTTCAGGAGACTTCTTCAGATAAATGAAATTGAAATTCAGGTATCTGATGTATCTGAATATTCTAATAGGCTTTTTAGACAAATGGGGAAGAATTAGGGATTGGATATTGCTAAGTATAAAGAAAACTAAGCAAATGAAAAAATAAGAGAGTTAACTTTAGCAATAATAAGCTGTGCAGGAAATTTTTAAATGCTCATAGTTTAATATATTGCCCACTATGAAGTGTTTACATGATCCTAATAATGTGAACTCAACACTGATCTAACCATAGTTTCAAGACAAATGGGTTAGGTGACAATTCTCCATAGCTTCCTGACATTTCTGCAGGCTGTGCAAGTGAGGTGCTGACTAACCTTTGTTCTGCACCATCTTTTTTTTTTTAAATGATATAGAGTACAGCAGGGTGTGGTGGCTTACACCTTGTAATCCCAGCACTTTGGGAGGCAGAACTGAAAGGATTGCCTGAGCTCAGGGATTTGAGATCAGCCTGGGCAACTTGGCGAGACCTTGTCTCTACAATAAATCAAAAAATTAGCTGGATGTGGTGGCGCACGCCTATAGTTCCAGCTACTAGAAAGGCTGAGGCGGAAGGATCACCTGAACCCAGCAGGTCAAGGCTGCAGTGGCCACAAATGTGCCACTGCACTCTAGCCTGGGCAACAGAGTGAGACTCCACCTCAAAAAATAAAAAATTAAAAAAGATGTAGGGTACAATTCAGGATTAGGTATACAAATGGTCATTGTGCAGGTAAAGTTTGGACTTTCCTTTGGTCCTCACTCTGGACCATCTTTTCAAGGACATTAATATAGTTAATAGCTTTGGAAGACAGAGATGGTATGTTCCTTTGGAGTAATGGCAGGTTACTTACTGCCTACTAAAGATAATGTCTCTTTCTGAAGTAAAGTACAGGGTTGCTTATTACCCATTATAAAAGATTTGGGTGCCCTAAAGTCAGGGTTCCTTTACCATAATGCACCTCACTGCACGTGCAGACGTCATCTGTCTTTTTGTCACCCTGTGGGAATTGGGGCTTGGAATACTAGTACAAAAATGTTGCTAGGCTTGGTATTACTACTGCTGCTATATGTAATAAACTATCCTTTGTTTCTGATCCAGGAGTTTCATGGCTTCTACCAGCATCCATGAAATTGTGGCAATCTAACTTGTTAGCTTGCAAGTATAAAATCTCAGACCTTTCACTGTTTCTGATAAACTGTATTTGAAAGATGGGAAAATGAATACATATGAGGATACATATGAGCAGTGAATGAAAGGGAAGGGAGAAAAAAATGAAACCTTCAATTTCAACAATGGGTAGTAAATAGATAATTCCTAAAACAGAAAAACCAAGAAGTAACAATTCAAACACATGATTTAGAACCTTAGAGATAAGTATAAATAATCAGTGAAAAGTCATGACAGTAGTTGCCTCTGGGGATGAAAAATGTGGCAAATTCCTTGAGGAAAGGGACAATATTGAGGGGATGGGTGGAAGGGGCTTTTGATTTAAAAGAAATCTGTATTTTTGCACAAACTTTTCCAGTGTCTATTTCTTCATAGCACTTCCAAAATCTGCAAAAGGGAATTGGATATCTTCTTGTCCTACTTCTATAAAAGTACTGGATAGCAAAATAATCAAAGTGTATCATTATTACTATCAAAAGAGCTATCATTTACTAAGAACTTACTCTATCCTGAGCACTTCTCTATGTATTTTACATGCGGTAAACATTTGAGATTTTGTTTTCCCAGTTTTGTAAACGAGGAAACTAAAACACAACTTAAGAGACTATCCCATGATTGCACAGCCAGAAAGTGGCAAGCCAGAATTAGCACCCAGCAAGTATGGCTCCAGAGCCTGGACACAGTCCTGAGAATCAAGGACTACCTATATTATTCATGTCTCTAATAGCAAGTGTCAGAAACCTGACTTAAACTACCCTAATAAGAGAAATTCACTAGAGTTAGCTAAACATGCCTCACTGTCTCTGGCTCTAAGTTGTCAAAGTTTCAAGGTCTCAGTGTTGGTCTTATCTAAGGCTCTTCCAATTGGCAAGTCACACGGCCCCCAGAACCCCTAGGGCGACATAATCTTAGCAGGCTAAAATTCAAAGAGAAAGAGAATGCAACAAAGAGAAACCACAGCACACTTATCAGAATGGTTAAAATCCAAAACACAGACAATACCAAATGCTGAAAAAAAGTAACTGGGATTGCCAGGAAGACAGTAAAAAATGAGTGATGGGCATTAGCGAGGAGGTGGGGGGTAACTAGGCTGAGCACAGAGGATTTAGGGGCAGTGAATTTCTCTGTATATTATGATGGATGGATGTTTTATTTATTAATTTTTTTTTTTTGAGTTGGAGTCTCACTCCGACGCCCAGACTGGAGTGCAGTGGCCGCTCCGGCCACCACAGCCTTGACATGCTGGGCTCCGGCTATCCTTCCGCCTCAGCCTTCCAAGTAGCTGGAACTACAGGTGCGCGCTGCCACGCCTGGCTCATTTTTGATTTTTTGTAGAGATGAGGTCTCGCCAAGTTGCCCAGACGGGTCTCGAACCCACGGGCTCAGGCAATCCACTCACCTCGGCCTCCCAGAGGCGCGGGATTACAGGCTGAGCCACCGAGCCCGGCTGGATGTCATTTTAAATTTGGCAAAGCCTATTGAATGCACAACACTAAGAGTGAATCCTAAGGTAATGATGTGCCCACATTTGTTCATCATTTGTAACAAATGTGCCACTCCATCAAGGTATGTTGGTGGTGGGAGACATGGGGGATGGGGTGTGAATATGGGAACTTGGTACTTTCCACTCAGTTTTGCTGTGAACCTAAAATAGCTCTAAAAATGAAGTCTATGAGAGAGAGAGAGAGAGAGAATACTTTCTCTCCTAGCACCATAAAATAGATCCCAGAGAATAACTGCCTCACTGATGGTCTTATACCTGTCCCTGGGACCGTCATTGTGGTCAGGAGAATGGGGTATAAACTGGCGAGGACCGAGTCACTTGCCCATTACAGGGGGTTGGGTTGGGCAGCAATGGGCATAGCTGGCCTTAGGCCCATCCCAAGATGGCCCTTCCACCTCAACCTTCCAAATAGCTGGAACTATAGGCGCAAGCCACCCTGCCCGGCTAATTTTTTTAAACTTATTGTAGAGATGAGGTCTCACCAAGTTGCCCAGGCTGGTCTCAAACCCCTGGTCTCAGGCAATCCTCGTGCCTTGGCCTCCCAAAGTGCTGGGATTACAGGCATGAGCCACTGCAACTGGCCCTTCTTTTGTTTTTAAATAGGCAAAGGACATTTATCATTTTCCAGCTTATAATACGTGGTCCCATTAGGAAGGAAGGACTAATGGAAAGAAAGAAATTTGGGGAAAAACAAGCATTAAGAAGCAGAAACATGGCCAGGCTCAGTGGCTCAGTCTGTAACCCCAGCACTTTGGGAGGCCGAGGTGAGTGGATTGCCTGAGCCCACAGGTTCGAGACCCACCTGAGCAACTTGGCAAGACCCCCGTCTCTACAAAAAATCAGAAATTAGTCGGGTGTGATAGCGCACGCCTGTAGTTTCAGCTACTTGGAAGGCTGAGGCAGAAAGATCGCCAGAGCCCAGCAGGTCGAGGCTGATGTGGCCAGGAGTGTGCCACTGCACTCCAGTCTGGGCGACAGAGTGAGACTCCAACTCAAAAAAAAAAAAAAAAAGGAAGAAACAGTCGGGCGTGGTGACTCAAGACAGTAATCCCAGCACTTTGGGAGGCCGAGGCAAGAGGATTGCCTGAGCCCAGGGGTTCAAGACCAGTCTGGGCAACTTGGTGAGACTTCAATTCTACAATAAATCAAAAAATTAGCTGGGCGTAGTAGTGTGTGCCTGTAGTTCCAGCTACTTGTAAGGCTGAGGCGGAAGGGTCACCTGAGTCCTGCAGGCCGAGGCTTGGTGGCCATGAGTGTGCCACTGCACTCCAGGCTGGGTGACGAAGTGAGACTCTAACTCAAAAAAAAAAAAAAAAAAAAAAGGGAGAACAGAAAAAGGAGGAGCCCATCTCCCTTACAGTATTGGGGAAGTAACTTACCAGACCTGGACTTCCTACCTTGGTACTTCTTGTTGCCACTTATTTGTTGAAGCCACTGCAGTTGAGTTTCCGTTCCATTCAGTAGTACACTAATGTCTTAAATGATACAAATAACTAATATCACTTTTATCACTATCTGTGGAAGCTACAATTTATAGTTGTGTATTAAAAATGCAAAACCTGCCGGGCTCGGTGGCTCAGCCTGTAATCCCGCACCTTTGGGAGGCTGAGGTAAGTGGATTGCCTGAGCCCGCGGGTTCGAGACCCACCTGGGCAGCGAGACCTCATCTCTACAATAAATCAAAAAAAATCAGCCGGGCCTGGTAGCGCATGCCTGTAATTCCGGCTACTTGGAAGGCTGAGGCGGAAGGATAGCCGGAGCCCAGCAGGTGGAGGCTGCGGTGGCCGGAAGCAGCCACTGCACTCCAGTCTGGGCGACGGAGTGAGACTCCAACTCAAAAAAATAAATAAATAAAATAAATAAAAATAAAAATGCAAAACCTCACCATTTTCCACCTAAGACCAACAATGTTACACATTTAACAGTATGTATTTAACGGTAATGTATTTAAGATTATTGATTAGGGTTAAATGTGTTGCTGTGGGAAGCCATTTATTTAGTATAAGAAATGAAACTAAGATTTTGACTGGATCAATAATATTCTCAACCAGATAACTAAACAAGTTAAATTCCATCCCGGTTTCTGATATTTATCAGATTATATGTAACAGCATGAGTTTATTTTGAAAGTCACACTTACTTTATATGAATTCCTACTATTAGTTCTCATTTAATTCTTGGTACATAATCAATGTACTAATAGTAACAAGTAATAAAAACCATATTTCTCATTAGCCTTTTATTTTTAACTTAGTTTTACAATAAACAGAAAAGAAGTTGATCATTAAAAAAATACCAGAGCTGTCGATTTAAAATGTAAAATGAGATTCTTGTTAAACAAAGCAGGGACACATTACCCTATAATTACATCTTTACTTTTATATACAAGAACTGTATGCAAAGTGCTTTTCAAACTATAAAATCAGACTTTGGAACAGGATACAAATGGTTATCCCTAGGGGCTAGTTACCCGACTGCTTGTAATGATTCAAAACGGCTTACATCTTAATTTGCATTTTATTTAATTATATACTAAGAGAAAAGCCATCATTTTCTGATACCAGACTGATACCTAATTTTTGAAAATAATCCCTGATCCACAGGTCTAACCTTTATTTTTACATATAATTCAGTTGCTTGCTTTACTTTTTCCATAAACAAATATGGGACAATTTTTTAAAAGCAAATATTAGTAGATCCCTTTAAACAGACACATTTTAATCAAGATGGGATTAAAAAAAAAAACAAAGTTACATGAAAAAAAGGACAAAAAGTTTGGGAAAAGCAAATTATATTCTTATATTTTTTTATTTCGGCAAGCAAAGAACCACCCGTACAACAGAGACAGATTCTTTCCCTCTTATTTAAAACACTCTGGAGTCACAGTTGGAGGCCTGAACAAGCTGTCAGCAGGAGAGGTGTTGTGGCCGAGCCAGCAGTCAGGTCTAGAGGTCCAGCACAGAGTGGCTGGCACAGGTGGCCAGCACAGGCATTTCCAGCAAATTCGCAAGAATTTTGCATAGCACTTCTTTGGAAGCGGTTTTCTTGGTGTCCTTTTTGAATAAAGGCGGTAGCTGCGCTTGGGAGTCGGGGCGTTTCACAGTACTATAAGATCGATATTCAAGACATGGTTTTCACCCCACTTCATCAACACACATACAGTTTCTGTTTTTTTGGACCCCTGTTTTATGCCATGATACACCAAGCTTTGGATCGTATAGACTATGTGATTGAAAGTGCCAGACAAAGACCTTTTAAAAGGAGATACTTATCAAATGGGAGAAAATCTGTATCTCAAAAAATTTTATGACTTGTATATTGAAGAATGCGAAAAATATGAACTTGTGAGAGAAGCTTGTTATGCAGGAGACTTTGTCATGTTTAGTGGTCAACCTATACCCAGAAAATGAGGAATATTCTCTGATGTTCAGGGGAAAAAATGGATCAGAGTCTGAGACCATTCAACTATCTTGTGAAGAAGGGGAATTGCTAATGCTCGGATGCAGAATTACCTCCTATTTTGTCTGATCTCCTAGAAAAATCTCAGGTTAATATTTTTATTGTGGACTGTCATAGCAGAAATATGTGACTACAGGCAGTCCAGTAATATGAAATCTCCTGGTAACCAAAGGAGGCACATTCTCTTACATCCAACGATACAGATTTTAATTGTAATCTGTGATGTACTTTCACTAACAAGTGATAACCATAAATGGACCCAGGAAGACAAACTATTACTTGAAAGCTAACTGATCTTAGTACAGCTGAGCCACTGTGTCCTGATCAGACCTGCACTGCAAACAGACTGCTGTATAACAAGCAAATGATGAACACTAGCCCAATGAAATGGTGTTTCAAGAGGTATTCTAGGTCCTCATTGTCCACCTCCTCAGCTGAGATTACTTGATTTCTGACCAAAAAAAAAAAGGAAAGGAAAGCAAGTCAGTATTATGACTTCAAAATTTCTAAAGCAGGAAATTGTGTAGATATGTGGAATGGAGTCCCTAATTTGGCCATACCTTCTGAAGTGGATGTGGAGAAAGATGCCTACTATGCTAACGTGGAAACATCCATCAAATCTGATGACTTACAACCAACAGTCTTGGCAGTTCATGATGTAAAAGATGATTATACATTTCAATGTGAAACTGGTACTCAGTGTCAGAAAACAAAGCTGGCCATCTTGCAGTCACTTGATGATCCACTTTACTATGGTAAAATACAGCCATGTAAAGCAGATGAAGAAAGTGACAGCCAGATATCTCCATCACACTTCTCCACAGATGATCATTCAAATTGGCTCATTATTGGATTAAAGACTGATGCTGTGGGGGTAGCCAATCAGTACCAGGAATTGGTCCAGAATGAAGCTAAATGTCCAGTTGTCACACAGCTCAGTGACTCGGCCAGTCTGTCCATTCCAGGGAGGCAAACAGAATGGACGGAGACTGTGTCAGTTCACTCTTCAGTATTGGGGAAGGGAGTAAAACAGTGACCTCCACCCATCAAACTTCCCTTGAGCTCAGGAAATAGTTCCTCAGGTAAATATTTTACATCACAGCAGGCAAGCAGCTTCCTTAAATCTCCAACTCCTCCTCCTCCTTCTAAGCCACCAAGTCCCTCTCAGAAAGTCTATAGATCGCAATCAAGTTAGCATGCTTTCTCCAGCTGCTCTGTCACCTGCCAGCTCATCACAAGATCTGGAACTCCTAAGCCATCAACTCCTACACCAACCCCTTCATCAAACCCACACCCTCCAGATGCTCAGAGCTCAACTTCTAGTACCCCTTCAGCCACCCCTACTCCCCAAGATTCAGGCTCACCCCTCAGCCCACTTTGTTAACTCAGCAGCAAAGGTCTCTGAGCCAGGCAATTCCTGTGACGACCATTCCTCTTTCCACCATGGTAATATCTATAACTACAGGAAACATGGTCCCCCAGGTCTTGGCAGACTCTACTGGACTTCATCAATATAGTGGGCTCTGTTTGTGGGACGCTGGCTTTGATGAGTGGTTCAGACCCCATGCTGAGCTGTTACATTGGTGACTAACTCTTGCAGGAGTAGACCTGAATGGCCCACTCCCCTCAGGAGGTCTGTTACCAAATACATTGCCCAGTGCAATGCCGGCAGCTTCTCCAGCAGGTGTCCCATTTAGTTTAAAAATACTTCAAGTATCTTGCCTTTACATCTACTCCAGCTTCCGGGTGGTTCACTCATTTTTAACACCCTGCAGCAGCAGCAACAGCAGCTCTCTCCATTTATGCCACAGCAACCTAGTAGCCCACGACTTATAGTCCTCAACAGCCAGGGGAAGTTTCCGAGCAAAATTCAACCAGTCGAGAACAGGCCGTATCTGCTCAGCAGGCTGCTGTTATTAACCATACTGGAGTAGGAAGTTGTATGCAGTCACAGGCAGCTGTAGCTGCAATTCCTGCAGCATCAAATGGCTACGGCGGCAGCGGCAGCAGCACCAACAGCTCAGCTACATCATCATCAGCATACAGGCAGCCTGTCAAAAGTAAAATGCAGACAGGCACACCAAGCACTCCAAAATGCTGACTCTTGTATTATTTTTTTGCTTTTTTAAAAACACAAGAGTGTTGAATCAAAAGGATTGAATTTCTACATCATCTTGCTTTTTTATGTCAGCATTTTGCATTGCTAGATGTACAAACTTTATACAGAAGCATAACCCTATGAATTTTAAATAAAAACAGGAAAATGGTTTCTCCCACACGTGTGTGCACGCACACACACACACAAACACACACACACACAAAACACTCTGAACACATGATGCTAAACCCAACATCATACATATTGAGAATGCTGAAAATTATTTACTACAAAGTCTTCGAATCAAAGAAATCTTCAAAGCACAAGATACAGCTAAGTGAGCAGGAAGTTCTGAAAGGTAAACAGGAAGAATAATTTCCCCAAGCCTTAAAGGATCTAAATGACAGTCTTCTTTTTGGTCTAAATGTAAGAGGTGGGGAAGAGGAACTTAAGTTTCTGTTAGTTAGGCATGCCTTACTCCTGTGGAAGCATTTGGCCTGTTGGCTTGCAAATCCTTCCTATACCCCTGTGACATAGGGGTATCTAAAAGAGTATACCCCAAGGGAAAAACTGAGGCACTAAGAGGTTAAGAGTCCAGTCTGTGTAGTTCACCAGTTGCAGAAAAGTGATTTTCATGTGTTTTCTTTTTGACCTTTGTAAAAACAGTATAAATAAGTTTTCATTTTATATTTCAAAGCACCCTATGAAGCAGACACTAGATATCCTCAAAGAAAAATGATTACAAAGGAATAAATGTATACGATTGAATACAAATCATATTAATCATCTACAGGCTCAGAATACACTTTTAAACATACATTAAGCTCATTCTTCATCATTTTCATCAGCAAGCTATGTCTATTCTGTGAATCATTTGCAAAAAGTAAGCCTAGTATGTAGGGCTCTACTTTTTAATAACAATGCCTGAACACCAAACTCAGAGTTGTACATGCCCAAGATAGATTATGAGCCGCCCACAAATTGAATGTGAAGATTCTTCCAGCAGTTCCCTACTACTTGGCATGGCAATTCAGTGACTAAGACATAAAGTCGGTTTAATCTCCCTTGCAATTCACTCCTGGCTTGCATTCTTTCTCATATTTTATTTAGAAAATTTAAAATACCCACTTATAAATCTGATCTCATTATCACAACTGTACCTTGGAAAAGCAGCTTATATTACTCTATGGGAGATAATCAGGTAAACTTGTTACCAAACAATAATTAATAATTTAATGTCCTTCAAGTTCAAGGGTAGGATAAATGTATGTATGCTACTTACAACCTAGTTGAGATTGATTATTCAAGTATCAGCAATATTAGTCCTTAAAATGTTATCATTTGTGTAGTGCAAAATATATGTGTATGTATGTACACAAATCAAACTACTGGACAACAAAAAGAAATGTAATCATTGCAAACTAAGATTTTCTTGTGAACTCCACAATCCATTTCATTTGGAGGTCATCCAGGTCCAGCAGTCTTCTTGAATAAAATTCCATTTTCTTCAGTTCAGCTTTCTTAAAAAAAAAAAAAGTAAAAACCGGTTTCCATGAGTATAAATACAACCTGAATATGCAACACATCAACACTAAAGAATCCTCAGATGATAACATAACAATAGCATTCAAATTCAAATAGAACCATAAAGTTACTGTTGGTTCTTACAAAACAATTTTCATGTGACTTATAGCCCAGTAAAAAAGATCCAGTGGCAAGTGCTAAAATTACCAGTTATTCATCAATAATTTAAATTTTCTTCCCTCTCACCTTCTAGATTCTCGTCCTTTCCTAAAGTGGCTATTATACAAATAAGACTTAGGACAGTATTATCAAAACGGAAAAGTTGTGAAACAAAAATGTGTAACAGGCTGGGTGCAGTGGCTTATGCCTGTGATCCCAGAACTTTGGGAGCCTGAGGCAAAAGGATTGCCTAAGCTCAGCAGTTCAAGACTGGCCTTGGGCAACATGGCAAGACCTTGTCTCTACAATAAATAAAAAAATTAGCAGGTCGTGGTGGTGTGGACTGTAGTCCCAGCTACTTGGAAAGCTATGGTGGAAGGATCACCTGAGCCCAGCAGGTCAAGATTGCAGTAACTTTGAGCGTACCACTGCACTCCAGCCTAGGCAACCAAGTGATACTCTAACTCAAAACAACAACAACAACAATAATAAAAACAAAGCTTAACAAACCCGAACTATTCATTTATTCAACACAGATTATGTTTTAATTAGTTTCCAGGCTTTGCGCCAGGCACTGGGGATAAGTAAGGCAGGCTCTCAACCCTCAAGAGAGTTCTCAGTTTAGTTGGTGGGGGAGGAGATATATAAACCCCAAACTCAATGACAACAGTGAATGAGCTCTCAGAAAAGTGTGGGCTTGTTAGTACAAGACACAGCAATCACAGATGATCTAAGTCCTGCAAAACGTCCCACTGCTCTAAAATCTCCCCAACACTCAAGACACCCAAATGCCTGAAACTCTCTCATTACAATTTCATTCCTCTCTGTAGAAATACTCTTGTGCAACCCTCTTGGCAGGAGTGACATTTTAAATAATCAGATCATTCCTTATCCTCTGTGGAAATCCTCTTATGTACACCTCCTTGGCAGAGTGACATTTTAAATAATCAGGTCAATTTTCACATAACAGAGGAGATCCCCAGCAACATGAAGAAAATAGGCCCTTGGAGGAAGAGAACTGAAATGATTGACAAAGACAAAACAGCTGTGGGTTGTTCTAACTGTCTGTGAGGTTTCAGCAGAAATGTTAGCTGTGGGGAGCCAGAACAGTTAGCAACGTGGATCAAGAATTCGTGTGATGCACATTAGTAGACATCATCCTTTGCAGATTTACAAAGGGACAGACAACTTGATCTCTAAACCCCTACTCCTACTGTAATAGAATAAACATAAACCATAATCATCAGAACTTTAGAATACTTTTCAGGCTCTTAATGAGATCTTTCTTCTTTTTTAATTAATGTGTGTTAAGAGAAGAAAAGTCACGGAAAACAACAGATAAGGGAATAGGAAAAAGTTCTTCCTATCCATCCATCCGGTTGAACGCTGCTCTGACTGTGCTGCTGGGATTCTTTCCCCTCAACTTTTGATTCAGTACCTTCTGCCCCAGTTTCTATTTGAAGAATGTTCCTCTTGAGACCCTCCTAACCCCAACCAGTTTGTTGTGTTTATTACTCCTCTACTGAAGACTCAGTGTCCCCAAGAAACTACATGATAACACATTTGTGAATCTGGGCAGGCTGATAAAGGAAAGTGGTTAGAAACATCCTCTCCTCAAAGCAATAATTGAAGACTAGTCTTTTGGACTTAAAAGGCCTGCTTTCAGTATTTAACTCTTGGATCCTGGTAACAGTCGAGTTGTCAGGCTACATAACGGGCGACAGGTGGCACCACAGGTGGCTTTTCAGGCCCTATTTATGAAGAAGAGCCTACAGGCACTGCTCTTTATATCACATAGAGAAAAGATGTTTTTGTGATCACTGCAGAGTGGTAGTGCAAGAAATCGCTTTTACTTTTAAATTTATATTCTTCTACACTAGAAAAAAAATCAAAGAGCAGACCTTAAGTATTATTTTTCATGTTAAAAGGAAAAGGTGTGTGTGTGTGTGTGTGTGTGTGTGTGCATAGATATATAGATATATATTTATCACAAATAGGTAGCTACTTATTTTACACGTGTGGGATTATTCCAGTATGTCTGTGTTCACATGCATACATATTAAATAAAATGAAAGTGGCTGGGTGTGGTAGCTCACGCCTATAATCCCAGCACTTTGGGAGGCCGAGACAAGAATTTCCTGAGTCCAGGAGTTCAAGACCACCTAGGGCAACATGGTGAGGCCTCATCTCTACAATAAATCAAAAAAATTAGCCGGGTGTGGTGTACACACCGTGGTTCCAGCTGCTTGGAAGGCTGAGGCATAAGAATCAGCTGAGCCCCTCAGGTCAAGGCTGCGGTAGCTATGACTGCCACTGCACTACAGCCTGGGTAGACAGAGTGAGACTCCAACTCAAAAGAAAAAAAGAAAGAAAGAAAGCTTTTCCCATGTCAGATGGTAATTCCATTTGCCATCTTGCCTACTGAAGGCATTGGGTCATGCATTCAACACGTATTTACTGACCGCCTACTACATGCCAGACACTGCATGAGGGAATGAGCTACAGGATGATCTCTAGTATGAGTAGGGAACACCCTCTACTACCCATACTTTTCCCATCCTAATCAGATCTCTAGACCTTTCTCTTCATCTCTAACACAGAACCTGTCTCTTCCAAACTATATACATTGCTCTCTCATCTTCATTCTTTTAACTGTCAGATTAAAAATGGTTATACACTGCTAGATTAAAAGATGCCTAAAATCCCTCAAGACTAAAATTTATTTCCATATCAAATATGGCCCTACTTCCAACCCTAGTTAATCTGTTACATATATAAGCAAACAATACATGCAAACACCATACTTCATCGAAATGGAATGGCACAGTGCTAAATAACTTATAATTTGGAAAGATCAAACACTTAACATACATTAAAAAAACTTTAATAAAAATTCAATAATAAGAAAGTAGAGAATTAAGAATAGGAAAAAGATTCTTCATTCAGAGAACATCTGTAAACAACTGAAAGGAATATATTTAGGAGAAATGGTAAACAACTTTTTACTATACTACTAGAAAGGAACATTTTAAAAATTGTAGAAAAACTCCAATTTTCTGGGACTGCTGAGGCAGAGTATAGTTTTTTAAATCTTTAATGAAAGTGATAAACTTCTTCAAACTTAAACATAAAATAAATTATTAATCAAAGTAAGCTTTAAGTTTTACTATCCTATGCCAAATTTTTCTACTCTCCAACTCCCAACTTTCTACAAAGGAAACATGAAAAAGAACTTTGAAATGCATTACAAAATATGTAAACATCTCCCTTCAGCGTCACTGCACCCTGCTGCTTAAATCCAGTATTACTACATACTGAAAA